CTGATTTTGGATTTTCGACAGAATCCGAAACGTCAGGAAAATAAAACCCTTGTTCCTTGTGATCGCATCTTCTTCCTCTTCTTCATTCCCCCATTTTTTATCACATCATTCATTCCTGCTTTACGCAGGTTAGCCATAGGTCTACATTTTCCACCGACTACAACGATTATGCTCTTCATCGGAAGAATGCAGCCTCCTTGTCCACCGTCCGCAAATGTGTCTTCCGTTGCCTGGTCGCTTCAGACATCTGGCTTAGGATCGCTTCATTGCCGCCGAAGCAGTCAATAGTATCTGTGTGCGGATCTGAGAAGAGAGTGTAGCTAGTGTATTTCGGTCCCTTTCATTTGTTATCGATGCGGGCATCTTTCAGAACCACTAATTGCTTTCCGTTGGCGTTAGTTTTGCTGATAGGACCCGACCTGTGTTTGTCCTCCCCCCCCTCCCCTACATTCCAAAAACCAGACCTTCCGAAAAGCACCTACTACCCTCATTTTCTCTTCACTGCCAGCTGATGCTGTTATGGAGGAGCGGTGATATTACCGCTGTGTTGGACACAGGTGGGGCCAATGCGGATTACCCGAGTAAAGCTGATGATTCAGAGCGATTCTGGCGCTGCCATTAGTTTCTCTTATCGTCACTTGTTAGAGGGAGCATTATAAGCTTTCCCCGGACTTTGTACGATTCCCCTCCTATTATGCTGTCTTGGTAAGGATGATTTATGTAGACCCTAAAACAAGACACAGGAATCGGGACGCCCCTTCCTAATAATAAAGGTTGCTCTGCGCGTGATTTCAGGCACGATAAATATTCCCTTGTGCTAACCCTAACATACACCTAGACCACAGGCCTGATCTCGTCCCTAAACGTGCAGATAACACTAACCCTAGCTTTTCCCTGGTGTTTAATGTATAGACACCTGTATTGCGCGCGGTTCCTGTTCTCGTGTTCTATTTCTGGCGCCATATAAGCCATCCTTACCGATATATTTCTGTGTTTTTACCTGAACTCTTAACGCTTGTGTCACACAAGATTAACTGCGAAGAAGAAAACAACCTGCTACGAAATATATTGGTAATTTCAGTTCTGGCAGTTCACACCTTAACCTCACTCTCTGTCCTAACTGTAGGCCGATACCAGAACGCGTCCAATTGTTCGTTCCGGAAGCGATCTTGATCGCGTGCGACCCTCCTCTACCACCCTCGTCTCTCGCACCTCTCGAAAGACGTTTTGCCTGCATGGCAACGGGAGGAAACCGCGCGTGGAGTCGGTATGTTTTTTCCCACCCCCTCCCTACTTTGACGTGTCCTACTTTTCCGTTTGTCCTCAAACTATGACCTTCGGCTGTTTCCCTTACAGTCCACTCCACTATCCTTTTTCACTGCTGCTGTCAAAACGAAATTAACCTTTCGTCTTATTTCCGTTGCCGCGTCAGTCTTTTGACTGGTTGACGCCGCGTGTAGGCACCTTGACCTTGGAGATTTGCTGGCTTTCGACTACTTAGTTTTTTCCCCAAAGCCTGAGAGTCCGGTCATGTCAGAGTAGTGTTTTGCATGACTAAAAAAAGGAAGAAAAATGCACACTTCTCCCCGGGACGTTCCACTTCTTTGCTACCGCTGCCGCTGCTGAACAGAAGTCCGCGACTTCTACAGGGTGCCCCACGAAAAACCCCTAAATTTATGATAATGTTTATA